CTGGGATGCTTGGAAGACAGCTCAGAATCGGCCATGTGCCAGTTGCTCTGTTAATGGTGATCCACCTCCATTCTATAGATGAGGATATCGAGGGACCGAGAAGGCAGGGATCTTACCCAAGACCACCCAGCGAGTAGATGGCGTATCTAGGGTGGCAGCTAGAATTCATCCTGCACCACAGCTGTCATCCATTGCCTGGAGCAGGGTTTCTTGGCCTTGGCACTGTTGACACCTTGGGCCGGAAAGTTCTCTGCTTTGGGGGATGTCCTGTGCATTGCAGGATTAGCAGATCTCTGGCCTCTAGGCACTAGATGCTCGTAGCACTCCACCCACCATTGTGACAACCAAAAGTGCCTTCAAAAATTGCCAACTGTCCCCTGGGAGAAGAGGAGGGGAGGATTCCCCCATGAGAACCCTGGGCTGAGAAAACCAGGTTCAGTCTGGAAAAATCTTGGGATTGGAGTATACCCTGATGGAGAGAGGGCATGGCAGAGCCCCTGCACATGCGTGGCCTATTTATTGACCCCGTATCCTCCTTTGTCCAATCTCGTATCTTCTGACTCCACATCTGACCCACTTTCCATTGCAGTAGGCTTCTAGAGATCAGTTGTTCCATTGCTCTACTTGTTAGAAAGTTCTTTCCTGTTGAGCCCAAATCTGCTCTCGGTAACTTACTTCATCAGCGTGCCCTCCAGAGCCATGCAGAAGGCCTAATCTGTCTTCATGGCCTGGCACTTCAACTATTTGCAAACAGCTCATGTGTTCCTGTCCTGTCCTCTCCCCCCAGCCCCTCACTGAGCCTCTCGGAGTCTTCCTGTGGCTACTCAGGCACTCGGAGGTTCACACTCAAAAACAAATTCAGCAACCACAACCCTTACTACACGCCAGGTGCTACGGTATCAGGGAACAATTCCTAGACAGGGAATTCAAACTTCTAGGCTTCTTCTCAAACCTTTTAATGTGAATTTCCAGGGACCCAGTCTATGTATTTTAAAGCTTCCAGTCCAGTACTTAGGAACCTCTGATCTAACTTTTTCCAGCTCTAGCCAATAGAGTTCTGACTTATTTTTGAAAGTAGCTACGTAAAACATGGCTTTTGGAGAAAGTATTAAAAAACAAACTCTTATAATAATAGGATACTAGATCAAAAAGGTACATGTTTCTATCCAGTCTCATTTTCAGTAAAATAGCTTTTTAAAAGTTTATACCAGGAAAAAAAAAAAAACAGCCTAGAAGTTGATATAGCCAAATTTATTTCTCCAGATAGTGGGATTAAAGGAGATTAAATTTTTTTCTTTGTCCTTTTCCTCATTTTAAAGCTTGTGGAATGAATATATGTGAGGGTACTTCAAAAAGTTTGTGGGAAAATTAAAAGATAATATGACTCCACGAACTTTTTAAAGACCTCTCATAAGAGTGTACACACATATAAATATGCATATGCATATATATATATATAAGTATGCACACATATTTTTATAAATTGCAATCCGTTTTTTAAAGTTATTTATAAAATTGTAATAACAACTGTCCTTTTACTATTTCTTATATGGATGGTGACATTTGGTGGAAATAAGTGACAGAAAGGCAGAATGCCATCACAGATCTGGACCCATTTTGGGAATAAGAAAGCATTAGAATGATAGAGTTGGAAAAAACACCAGGTCATCTACCTTCATTTAAGGAAGTGGGAAAGAAGACCTAAAGGAAACTGACGTAAGGAACAAAACATAGTGATGAAGAGAAGCGAATACCAAACTTGGGTTAAAAAAAAAAATGAAAACAGGCTCTTATATCTACGCAAGTTAAAACACCATTCATTTAGCTCCCTGGTTGAACGTAGTCCATTATAAATAAGAATGATTATTTAATTCCTAAACAGGAATGACCTATATTCTATTTTAAGGGTTTCCAAGGTTCATAAATGAGCACATGACTTTCCTCCTTCCCTTTTGACTGTCCCTTATTTCAGTTAAATAAAATTCAATGGCTTGCTTATTTCCTGGAAGAGTTTTTCTGATTTCCTATTCCTGCTGCCATCCTAAATACCCCGTATGTGACTTCAAGCCTTTGCCCTCACATCCTTTCTTATGCATAGACATTCTGCTTTCTTCCTCACAAAACTTTTCCCTTCCTCTTGGTATAGTCTTACGTTGTTTCTGGCTGCTGCAACCAGAGTCATGGGCAGAGTCCGTGGCAGGCATGCCCTCCCTTCAGCCACAGATGCCTCGCTAATAAGCACAGAGTTTGCAGGTCTGTACAAAATCCCAACTACCCAACCCCACTTCTTTTTAAAGTGAAGTGTAAGTCTACATTTCAAACTGCACCACAGCAACTGGATACCACAGGGGACAGCCTCTGTTCTGCTGGAGTCATATTTCTGGATCTTTTGGGGCAATTCCATTTCCTGTTGCAAGGACTGTGTACGTGTGTGTGTGTGTGTGTGTGTGTGTGTGTGTGTGTGTGTGTGTGTGAGAGAGAGAGAGAGAGAGAGAGAGAGAGAGAGAGAGAGAGAGAATTCTAGCAAAGTAATGTGTCTATGAGTACTGGTGGGTAATGCTACTCTAAATAACTTGGACTTCCACTGGCTGGCTTTTGTTCATAAAATGCTAATCCTTTCAGGTGCAGACCTATATAAAACATCGGGGATTAAAGGGTGCACAGAAACCTCAGATCTCTTCTGCTCCATAAGGTACAGATATGTTTACACTAACGGTTTGAAATTATTTGAGAGTATTAACAAGGAGTCAGTGAAAAAGCTTTCAAATTATTTATTAAATACTAATATATGATATAGATCAGTGATGTTTTAGTCTAATAACAGACACTAAGTAGATTACCATAGTTATTTTCTAGATTGCTTTTCAATGCAGTGTTTGGAAAAAATTAATTTCTCATGTCAACTACAATAACGAGGAGGAAGTCATTTCATATCACAAAGAAAAGTATCACCTGGTATTTGACTGAAAATAGTTCTCTTTTTCTTGCATGCAAAATGAAGAAATGTCTTCAATTTAATGCATGGCATTTCATGGGGACAGGTAGCCATTCTGCATGGTAACATCATACTGCATGTCTGCCCTACAGCTCTGGGGATGGTAACAGTTGATATTGTATGTGTGAGAGGCTCTGCGTGGATCACCTCCCTTAATTCTCTTCACTGCCGCATGAGAGAGGCACATCATGATCTGCATTTTCAACATAGCTCTTACATGGCCGAGCCAAGCTTCAAATGCAGGCTTCTTATCACAGTGCTAAGTGGTCTACACCAAGGACCCTCCATGGACTTTCAACAACCAGTCTGTTGGTTTTTTTTAGGGGAACAATTAACTTCCTGGAGTTGTGGGAGAGCTGAAAAGGAGGTAAGTATTAGCAAGAGAAAAAACTCTCCTGTGGAGCACAGTCTGGTGGAGCACTCCTGGTGGGTTTGGTGAGTTGCAAAATCAGGGTAAACACTTGATGGTTTGATTCCAGAGCCAATGAAAGAATGCCACGTTATTTCCACACCAATCTCATTTCTTTGAAATCCTGACGCAGGGAAACATAAGGGACACGTGGGCTCTGCAGGGGTGGGATGGGATCATGGACCCTGCGGGGGCTGCTGATCTTCCTTGTGTTTCGTTTGTGTGATCACTGCGGGTAGTCCATGCCCGAGTGCTGGATTTAGTGTTGGGTGCTAGGTGAGCTAGTTAGCAGTGGTATGGCTGCTGCTGTGTCTAGTTACCTCCTCAGTTGGCTGATACAATCAGGCAGCATGCGTGTGTGGAGAATAAACCCAGGAAAACACACGGACCAGGAAAACCACTTACAGTTTGTAAAAAAGACCAGAACACGTCTCCATGACAACATGGACTTAAGATACACGAAACATTTCAAGTAATTTCAGGGCAAACTAGGCAAGGAAAACCAAGGCCACACCAAGGTGGCTCAGGCTGCATCCTGCCTCAAGATTAAGAATGTAGTTTCTGCAGCTGGACGTCTGGCTTCGGGTCCTGGCTCTGTCACGGGTCAGCTGCATGTGGTCTTGGGCTGATTTTGAATCTCTCTGTGCCTGAATTTCTCTCATCTGAGACAAGGCATAATGGTAGGATCTGCTTCATAGGGTTGGCGTGGGGACTAAATGAATAGGCTCAAAGCACCAGAACGGTGCTCAGCAACAGTCCAGCAGCTTCAGGCCTTGTTATTTCGATGCTGATCAATGACCCCAATAACCAATTCTCTTGTTCTGAATCAGGCACAGTTCTCCTGCGCTCTCATCCTCACTTCTGCTCTTCTGTTTCTCACCGCAGCCCTGCGAGGTAGGCAGATATCACTATCCCCTTTCTGCTAATGAGGAAATGAGTGCTGAGGGGATCAAGTGAGTTGTCGCATGTTAGAGCAGGGTGCCAAATTGGGCTCCTGGCTCTCAGCCCCAGCACTCTCTGCTGTCCTCCAGCAGAGCCTCAGATGAAAGGAGAGCAGCCTGGTGTTTGCTCCAAATCCCGGCTTCTCATCAGTGATGTCATTAACCCCACAATTTATGAGTACCTCCAGTGGTATGCAACGCTACACTGATTTTCTTTATTAAGATTCAGTTCCAAAAATTATTAGAAATAAATTTTAGATCCTCAGAACTTAGTGATGTGCTACAATAATTGGGGGTGGGGGTAAGCAAGGATGGCAAAGAACAAATTTACAAAATTACAAAAACTTGCCATAGCCTCCTGAGCGACACCATGCCTGTTTCCAGGCTACCACTGCCCTGTTTTTGCATTTCTCCATGCACACACGTTCAGGAACGTCCAATAGTCTCCCAGGATTTTGCTCTGCAAAGCCGGGATGGCAGCTCCTTGGGTGGCTGCTTGCTCACCCAGGGGACTAAGCTGAAAAGCAGCCGTTCTTTTCGGCTCAGCAGATGCTAAGGCGATAAGCTACACCCTTCAGAGCCCTCCAGGAGAGTCACACTTGACTCGGGCCCAGCGACTCGGGTCTTGTCCAGTTCTTTCCTCTCAGCAGGCGCCGGGTATGGACGTGTGTCTGAGCTCCGCAGGTGGCTGGTTGGAGGCAGAGAACGAGGGGGATCTCCAGAAAGACAGCGCCCGGGGACCCCCAGGAGGTAACTTCCTTGTTCATCACCTCAACGATTTTCCTCGGTTGCTTTCCCGGTGGTGACATTTTCAAGTAAACTTTAGTGACAAGAATGTCCATTTCTAGATTTTTACTATAATGCTTAGTAGAAAAATGCCTTCATGCAAGCATAAATATAGCATCAAAAGTAATCTCTGTTTTTTCAGTATTTACTTATCAAAGTCCACAAATTTGCTTATCTTGTATATAAATCTAAGATTGCCATATTTTTGTAACAAGAACTTTTAAAAAACCCCACACGAAATCTAGATTTATTTCTGTGTTTTGCAAAGTGCATTCCTGGCAGCTTCCTCATACAGTGGATCTTGTAAATCAAAGTGTGGTTTCCCATGAGGACAATGTAGCAGTTTAGGGTTGCATCTCTGGGCACAGAATCAGTAGTCAATAAATAATAGACATAACAAATGATGTAATAAAGGCCAAGATATAGCATTTAAAATGTTTACAGTCATTTAAAGTGGTAAAGATATGTCCCAACTACTAAATGAGGGTGTTATTTATTTTTACTGAATTATTTACATAAAAATGCAACTCTACCTTATCTCTAAATCCGATCTCTTTAACACTGTCAGGCTAACATAGATACAATAAATGAAATTATTTAAAGTGCAGTAAACATACATTTCTTTGTCTTTGTGGAACTTCAGAGGGTCCTATGGGAGAATATTTGTATGCCCATGTTTCTTTACAATGCTGACCAGGGAAGTGTACCTGTCAAGCTTACTATTTGTCAGTTTATTTACCTGTTAAATGTTGAACCAAAATCAGTCCACTTGACTTTTCCTACAGTCTTGAGAGAAAAATAAGTCCCCAAATGGTGACAGGCGAGCAGAGGGGAAGGATGCTCAGCCTGGGTGACAGGGGCTGAGGAAGGGAAGCTGGCAGGAGTCCCTGCTGCTCCCACCGCTCAGAGTCACCTGCCCTAGTGCTGTGCTGGAGATGGCTTGTTCTGGTGCCTGAATTCCAGGAATTTTGCAAGCTGGTTGTTACACATGGCCAGTATTAAAATTGAAGTTAAGTAAACTTACAATTAAATAGATTATATTAAAGAAAAAGGTATATTTAAGAACTAATAGATTAAAAAATACTCAAAACTTATCACTAATCATTTTACTCTGTGCTACCATTACCTCTGCTCTCGAGGTGATGTCTGTGGGGTCTGCATGACAGAAATGCTACACGATGACGTGCTGCTGCACATCTTTTACCAGTGACATCATGTCGGGAGTTTGAAGTCAGCAGTGATGGGAGTATTGACACCTGGGCAATTGTCAAACCCTATAAATCAGCACTTCGTCCCCTCCTTTCACAGTGGTGGTTAAACATTTATCAGCACACAACAGTCTATCCTTCTGCCTTCTTAGTGACTCTGAACCAGAATTCAGAGTCAGCCTTTCGGCCCAATGGTAAAAGCTAGGGCCTCTTCGGTCATTTATAAATATTGGGTTCTTTTTGTTAGATGTCAGTAGCTTCCCGTAAGATGTAAGTGGAGACTATAGGTCTCACTTCCTGCCCTGCAGCCTCCCTACAACCCCTACCATGGCATGTGACAGTAAAGGACAGTCTCAGGACTGAATTGGCTATTAATTAGCAGGTTCTTGCAATTGGGTCCCAGGTGAATTCCAGCTCACCTTTTTTTGTTCAGGGCAGAGAATTCTCCTTCAAGTGGTGGAACACACTGAATCAGAACAGAGGCCAAGAGTGATGCTGAAGAGCTAAGGGCACCCATTATCTAATTTAAATGAGTCACTGCCCTCACACTGTGGTCAAGGACAGTTTCCTCATGTGCTGCCTACTGACACTTCTGTAATATACAACAAAAATGCCTAGCTAGAAAATCAAAATGAAAAAAAATACAAGCCCTGTCTTTTTGGGTAATTAGATTCAAAAGGCATTGTCAAGTTGCAAATATTTCTAAATGCTTCCTCCAGATTTCTGTACATATGTTATAGTGAACCTGTTACAAACGGTTTGCAGACCAGCAGCACAGAACTGCTCCAGTGTGTATCGAAATGAAGGACACTTGAAGGTGTCTGGAGGGCCTGCCTCTGAGGGACGGACTGGCTCTGAGGCATGATTGATCTGGTTTCTTCCAGGCTCATTGCACTTGGCCTGCTATCCACATCCCCTCCCCCGCCGCCTCCTCTTCCACCTCGAGTACTTCTGATTAGAGCACTTTGATGCTAAGAGACTGCTTCTTTCAGGAATTTTTCCAAAGCCCATATTCCACCCCTGGTTAAAAATTTTCCAGTCATATCCCAGGGAACAAAGGCAGGTTTTATGCAAATAAAACTGACCTTCTTTCCCGCAGACTCCTCACTGTGAATTCCTCCCCACCGCTGGTCTCCACGTGTCTTCCTCTGCTACTGACAAGCCCTAAGTGTGCACCTGCTCAGGACTCCTTCCCGACACACCTACCCACTGCTCTTTTTATTCTTAAACACTCTGAAAACCTGCTATAATTTGTGGTTCTATGACATCAGCCCAATCAGGTGCTCTTTTCCTCTCATTTTATATGATATTTGAGAGCTAGGAGTCATGGGTTTAAAGGAGTATTTAAGGCAATAGTAACTTAATAGCCAGAGCTCATCTGACATCCCTGCCCCCATCAAGGACTGCAGAGCTGGCTCAGCTTTGGGTGGCCTGTACCTTTTGAGGAGCAGTCAGGGGAAGGATTTAAGGAACATGGGCCAGGCAACATGTGGGAATGTTACTTCAAGACCTAAAAATAATCAGGTCCACGTTTTCCTAGTACTTCCTTATCCAGACAGCTCGTGGGTGCGTCTTGCTGGTAGGCTGGCTTTCTCCCGTTATCAAATCGTAGGACGGGAATGGATCCACACCTCTTCTGCCCTCTCCTAAATAAGTGAAAGACCCAGGGCAGCCTTTGGCATCTTGTCATATAAAAATGTCACAACTGAATTTCATGCCCCTGTCATCTCACATAATTCTTTTTGGTAGTTGTTTTCGCTAATTTGCAGCCATGGTTGTTGACAGCATTGTCCCTTGTGTATGAAAAAGTGCTCCATCTTTTCCCATTTTACCAGTTGTACCAAGTGTGTATTTGCACTGGGTTAACAAATCACGAAACCCATTTTATTTTTCTGCTTCACAGATGCTAACAAGATAGAACCGTCTCTTCATAGCCTGCAGAAATTGGTCCCTACAGATTATGGCAGCTACACTCAGGAGCGGTATCGGTTTGCGGGCAAGGACATTGTCATTCAGGAATCAATAGAGAGTTACGGAGCCGTGGTGTGGCCAGGGGTGAGACAACCGTTGTGTGTGATGTCAGGCTTTCTGCAGGTAACAGTGTCATCCAGTCGCGTTGTCTGGACCATTTGCCAGGCGCGTTGACACTCTGTGCCCGGCGCCCTCAGGGGTGTTGCTGGCGAGCTCGGGATCAGCAGACACAGTGTCTTTCTTCCAGAAGCATTGGTTTCGCTTTGCCATGTTTCTTGAAATATTATTTTTACTTTTTGTCGTTCATTTATTCTGGCGGCCGGCCTGCCCTGGTGTCGTAACACCACTCTCTAGCCGGCCAGCCCTTAAACGTGATTTTTTACATTAAACAAACTTGACCTTGGGGGAGTAGGGCTCAAAGTCACATGAATTGTGAAGAAAAGTAAATCAGGAACTTAGAGTCGGGACGTGGCAGCAGGCACCTGGGGCCACGGCCGCGGTCCCCGGGCCACTCCTCCTTCCACGTGGTGGGCATGTCAGCAGAAGCGCTTGGGGAGCGCGACTTGTCCCAGGTCACCCCTGCCGCAGTCCCAGAGGATGGCGCCCAAATAGGTGAGACACCCGGGCTTTCGAGCCGGAAACCCTGCTTCTCCGGGCTGTGTGCTCAGACGCCGGTGTCGCCTCCCCCGGCCGGCGCGGGCTGGCGGCGACGTCTGGTTTCCCCGCGGCGGGAGGGTTCGGGGCAGGGCTCGCGCCGCGGCGGCTGGGACGGGACTGTCGCGCGACTGCGCGCGGTTCTCCTCAGACAGAGGCTTTGCTGGGCGGGAACAGCGAGCGCGTCACCGTCTCCGCCACCGCTTCCGACGGGGCGCACGTGGGGGCGACACGGGCCGGCGCGAGCCGGGAGGAGCTGCCGAAGAGCCTGCGTGCGCGGCCTCGCCTCGGGCTCCCGACAGGCGCCCTGGACGGGTAGAAAGTGGGGCGCAGCCTCCCCGGGCGCTTCTCGGGCAGCTCTCCGGCCAGAGGTCGCCTCCGAGGTCGCCGAGGGTGTGCAGCGCGCCCGGGGACTGGGGCCCGGGGCAGGAGCCCGCAGCCACCTCCGCAGGACCCCGTCCCCCAACACGAGCACGGGGGGACTGACCCGAAGGACGGCAGGTGGCGCTGCTGCTCCACACCGCCCTCGCCGCGGTGACACCCACACCGTTGTCCCCTGCCTCATCCTTCACACCGGCTCAGCCCTCCCTGGCGCCTGGAAGTGGGCCCGACGCCCCTGCGGCCTCCATCGGCTGCACTGATCAGAGTGACAAAGCGAAAGAAATCAGTCTCGGGCCGCTCCCGCCGCTGACGTTGGTGCCGTGGGTGTGGCGCCCGCCCTGTCCCCACCCCGGGCCGCGTCCCGCCGCCCCCTCCCAGTCGCGCCGTCGACCTCGGCTGCAGACACGGCCGCGTCGTGCTCGTCTGTGCGTGTGGCTGTCTGTTCAGTACGAACAGATGAGGATGGAGGGACCTGCGGGGTGAGGTTTGCTGCTGACCTACCTCCGGCCGTCCTGGGGTGGGGAGTCTCCCATCATCCGGCCGCCCCCCACTCCAGCCTAGGCCCTAAATCGAAAGTGGGGCTCAGCAAGAAGATAAGGGCTATCTTTAGCTAGGGCCTAAACAGATAAACCATTAGAAAGTTCAATTGTTATTATTATTTTTGATCTGAATGTTCACATTCCCAGCTCTAGGCTATTTACACTCAAACTTAAGTAACTTTCTCATGCACAACCGTTCCTAATCTCTCTAGTCCAGGGCGTTGCTAGCTGAGTCCTCACTGGCTTGAGGAAAAAGTTGGCCTCCTGGTAAAAACCTCATGAATCGATGCAAATCAAATATCCTTTCTCTCTCTGTAGAAAGGCCAGGGAAGGTGGAAGCAGATGAGAATTAATAAAGAAGGAAAGGGACGTTTGACTTCTTATATAAAAAAGTACTTCATTTATTCATATATAAAACATTTTTTTAAAAAAATCTCCTTGCTACTAGGCAGTGTGTGGTCCTTGTGCCAGCAGGTTGGCATCACCCAGGGCCTCGTTCGGAGGTGCTGAATCTTGGGCTCCTCCCCAGACCTACTGAATGAGAGAACCTGCTTCTGTCACAAGCTACCCAGGGGATTGATTCTGAAACTTGCACACTGAAGTTTCAGAAGCAATGATCCGACACTCTGAGTGTTTCTTAGATGAACCGCTTAAAAAACCAAAAAACTGCCCAGCTGTCCAATGCAGCAAAGTCTTAACCGACCTGAACTTTGATGAAGAAATCAGGAGACACGTGTTTAAGTCTATACAACGTTCTTGAAGCAGCTGGAGGCCCAGCATGACTAAACCAGTGGAAGAAGATACTGTTTTTTAGCCCCACATTTCTCTGATTTGTAAGAGTGTGAACTAATCAGCTGAATTTACTGTTCTTTGGAGGGTGATCAGATGTGGTACAGGCAATTAAACAATCTGTTTCTCCAGTTTCTTCCAGAGGTCTTAAATATGGCATTAAATGTATATTTTGGTTCTCATGAACCCATCTATAAACTAAAAATGTTTAATCACATGTCTTTTAGTATTTAACTTGAAGTGGCAGGAGGAGGTCTCTATTGGTTTCCAACATTCCAGTGCCCACGTGATAATCGTTGTAAATATTTTTTAGGCCACGGCTTTGTGTCAGTATTTGGAGGAACATACAGAGGAACTGAATCTCCAAGATGCTAAAATACTTGAAATTGGTGCTGGACCGGGCCTTGTTTCCATTGTGGCCACTCTTTTAGGTTTGTTTATTCCTGACCTTGTTTCAAAGACCTTCACTGTGACAATCATCGTGAGTGCTTACAATAGGACAGGCTGTGGTTTAGGTGCTTGGCCATGATTCCACCCCAAAATGTCATGTGGCAGGAAGTACTACTGTTACCCCAGAGATAAGATAATTGAGTCTCAGAGAGGTTAAGTAACTCCTCCAATCCACTCAGTTTCCATGTGATGAGGTTGAGAGTCCAGAGCTGTGACTCTGAATCCTCAAGACCGTGGTAATCACCTTACAGTGCACAGGACAGGACCCCCTACGGGAATTATCCAACCTGAATCGTGAAATATGTCCAACCTACATGCCAGCAGGGCCAAGGTTGAGAAACCCAGTTCTACTTCTTATGATTGTCCCCAAGTATACGTTCACTGTGGCTGCCCAAATGTTTCCAGGTAATTGTGACAATTTTTCTCTTTTCCTCTTAGGAGCTCAAGTCACAGCAACAGATTTGCCCGATGTCCTGGGAAACCTTCAATATAATCTTTTAAAAAACACATTAAAATGTACAGCACATCTGCCTGAGGTGAAGGAACTGGTGTGGGGGGAAGACCTGGAACAAAACTTCCCCAAGTCAGCTCTCTATTACGATTACGTTCTGGCCTCCGATGTGGTCTACCACCACTACTCCCTGGACAAGCTGCTCACCACCATGGCCTACTTGTCCCAGCCAGGCACGGTGCTGCTTTGGGCAAACAAGTTCAGATTCAGCACCGATTATGAATTTTTAGATAAATTCAAGCAAGTTTTTGATGCAACACTCTTGGCTGAATATCCAGAGTCATCCGTCAAACTTTTTAAGGGGATACTTAAATGGGACTAATCAAACAAATGACTTTCAAAATATTAGTGTATCTTTTGAGCTGTGTTAGAAATTGCATTGCCAATAAAAGATGTCTTTTCTATGATCGAGAAGGTAGTGGGTAGAAACAACTTATATCCCTAGAATAAATGTAACAATACTGCAGCAACTTTTAAATAACTTAAGATTATTTGGTTAATATAAATATCTACAATGAATAACATAAAAAACATGAAAGCAGCTTTCTTGACTTCCAAAAATCTCAATTATGTGTTTAATAAATTTTACATGAGTAAGTTAATAAACAAATGGATTTGCTCCGTCTTCTGCTGTAGAGCATAGTTTTAAACTTTTCAATGTACTTCTTTACATGACTTTTGAAACTGAGTTTGACAGGGTCATTATATCTTGGTTTGAACAATTTACTTGTACAGATTTTAACTGTAGCAAAAGGAGAGGATACTGAGTGATAGGAAGGAGTTGTAAGTTTAACACTGATTAAAAGCAGAAAACATGGAAACCGCTGGAGTGAGGAAATAAATGTTGTCCTAGGAACTTCTTAAGTGCATTTACAAATACGAGGGTACTTCAGAAAGTTCGTGGAAAGATTCATATTATCTTTTAATTCTATTTTTCCATGAACTTTCTTACGTACCCTCATACTCTCCCTCTCTGTGTCAATTACTTTACCTGTGACAATTTAAAGTATGATTCCTGGATCGCCTGCTTTTTTCACAACTTTTTTAATGATTAAGATTCTTAGAAAACTAGGAAAGAATGGAAAATGGTTGTAATTTATAAAAAGGTAAGAACCATTCTTAGCTTGCAAAAACAGGCTGTGGGTTGATTTTGGCCTGGTTTGCCAACCTCTGGAACTGTAGACAATTTACAGTGGAATTACTAGAATTCATAAGAGTTTAGCAAGGTTGCCAGTGTCAATATGCAAAAGTCAATTTTATTTATAAATGCTAGCCACAAATAGTTAGAAAATGAACTGTAAACAAAGTTATCACTTACAATAGCAATATCAAATACTTAGGAATAAATCTAACAAAAGATAGACAAGAACACCACACAAATTTATAGCAATATTGAGACATATTAAAGATAACCTAAGTAAATGGAGAGACATACCAGGTTTGTGCACTGGAAGACATTAAATATGTCAATTTTTTCCAAATTTATCAATAGATTATGTGAAATCTAGTCAAAATCCACATATGGATTCTTGTGAAACTTGTCAAGCTGATTCTAAAATTATATGAATATTAAAAGGCCAAGAAGAGTCAAGACACTCCTGAAGAAGAACCTGGAAGTTTTGCTTTACGAGAAGTCAAGAAGTATTTTAAAGATGCAATAATTAAGATAGCAGGTAGTATTATTTGCTAATACTAAAATGTATTGGTATTTCTTAATACACCTACATACATATTGGTATTTCTTAAAATGAACTTTAAAGCTACCTATAAAAAATTAATAATTATGTATCTATATATTTAAGGGCCAAATGACCATTCTGGACATAATTCCAAAAATTTAATTGCCTCCCTTTTCTCTTTTATTGATATTGCCTATTAAGAATTTCAGTCTCTAAGGTATTTGGTGATGAATGTTTTAAATACTCTTCAGTTATTCTGGATGAAGATTAAAATATCTTCTCTCTTTTAAAATAAATAATAGTATGTTCATCAACTAACAGCAAGATCTATCTGATAAAAACCTATTTCCAAGATTTTAAGGCTAATACTTAAAAAAAAAAAAAAAAAAAAAACAGAGAGAAAATTGTGTCTCTTACCCTCACCAAAAAACCCCCATAAAACCCAGAAGGCAAAAACCTTGGCCAAGGCAGTAGCTTTAATTTCCTTCTCTCAAGCAAAGGGAAGGAAAATAAACATGCCTTTCACAAATGTTCTCCTTTAGGATATGAAACTTATAAGATCAGGACACCCAAAGCAGAAAAAAAGTTGTAGGAAAAGGCAGGATGTCTTTTATATCCAGATAATGTGTGACAAGCACAGGATGTTCACCTGGTGATTCCTGCTTTTTTCCTACCCATGTTTACTTGCTGCTGCTTTTCTGTCTCATGTGCACATGGGCGGGAAAGATAAGTCAATCTGGAAAACATTGGTTTGTTAGTATAAAGGTCAGTAATAAGTCAGTTGATATCAATATTAGATAGACATATAGGTCAATGGAACAGAACAGAGTCCAGAAATACAAGGGATCTTCAAAAAGTTCATGGAAAGATTCATAATATTTTTTAATTCTATTTTTTCCATGAACTTTTTGAAGTACCTTGTAGACCCACACATATGCAGTCAATTGATTTTTGACAAAGTTACCAAGATATTCAATAGGAAAGTAGTCTTTTAAACCAGTAGTGCTAGAACAATTACACACACACACACACACACACACACACTTGAACCTTCTCTCATACCATACACAAAAATTAAATTTAAACGGATCATAGACCTACATACAAGAGTTAATGCTATTAAAACTGTAAGCCCTCTAGAAGAAAACACAGGATAAAATCTTTGGTACCCGGATTAGACAAAGATATCTTAGATATCACACCCAAAGTACAAGCCATAAATGAAAAAAAAAAAAAATGTTGAACTGGACCTTACCAAAATTAAGAATTTTGCCTTTCAAACGACACCATTCAGAAACACACTGGACGGCCTACGGGGCTGAGCCCGAGCTATGGCCTGAGCTCCTTCCAGTCCAGCATCGGCTCTGGCGGGAGCGCCTGCCCCTTCAGCTGCACCAGCTCCTCCAAGGCCGTGGCTGTGAAGAAGATTGAGACCCCAAGTCCTCTGATGTCCTACCCAAGTGAATGGCCACTGCAGCCCTTCTCAGCCTCTGCCCTCTTGTGGCTGACCCAGAGCTTGTGGGGGAGGCAGATGTGCTGGGGAATGTGGGGAACAGGAGGCCCATCTGAGGCTCAGCCCTAGCCCTCAGCTCACTCTTTGGGGGAGTCTACTGCCTGGGGTACCCCCTCTTGCTCATGTTCTAAGAACCAATTCAATTGTCTCTCCCAAAATAAAGCCTCTCCTGGCCCTGCCAACCTCCAAACCCCCCCCCCCCAAAAAAAAACCAACCAAACACACTGTTAGAAAATATTTGCACAACACACATCTGATAAAGGGCTTGTCGCCAGAATACATAAAATAACTCTTACAACTCAATGATAAGACAGAAAATCAAACTGAAAAAGATGGCCAAAACATTGGAATGTAAATTGTACCATAGAAGATACATAAATGTCTAATAAGCTCATTATTTATTAGGGAAATGTGAATTAAAACCACAAAATACTATAACACAACCACTAGAAGTTAAAAAGGAGGCAATATCAAGTGTCGATGAGGATGTGCAAAACCGGTGACTCTCACTCAATGATAGTGGGAAAGTAAAAAGTTTCCTACAATGTTAAAAAGAAACATACCATAGCGCTCAGCAATTTCATTCCTAGGTATCCAACCAAGATAAACTAAAAGATATGCCCATACAAAAACCTGTGAACAAAGGTTCATAGCAGCATTATTCATAGTGTCCTCAAATATAAACAATCCAAATATCCATCAGCTGGTGAATGGATAAACAGTGTGGTATCCATCATACAATGGAATATTTCTCATCAGTAAAAAGGAACGAACTGATACACCCAACAGCATTGATGAAACTCAAGAACATTAGGCTAGGTGAAAGAAGACAGCCAAGATTACATATTGTATGATTCCACTCACATGAAATTTCTAGAAAAGTCAGAACTATAGATAGAAAGCAGATCACTGGTTGTCTAGGGCTGAGGTGGGAATTAAGATTGACTAAAAATGGGCAAAAAGGAACTCAGATGATTAGTAATGTTGTAAAACTAGATCATATTGACAGTTGCACTACAGACATTTAACTGTACACTTTAAAATGTTGAAATTTTATGGTATGTAACTTATACCTCAATAAAGCTGTCAAAAATCCCCATGGTTTGTCCTAAATGTTATGCAAATAATTTCGAATCCTCTTTCAAGTAGATGTAATCTATTAAGAGAAAGAATTATAGCAATTGGACTCTGCCCTCTAAATCTCAGACTTTCAAATGCATTTCTTTTACATTCACACAGCAAAGGGACATGATCATATGCTTATCTTGTAAGTGGACAGAAGTCGATTCTTTTAGAAAAGATTGATTGCAGTTATAAACGATCTTTTTTTTTTTTTTCCTTTTTGTCTTTTTTCGTGACTGGTAACGGGATCGCAACCCTCAGTGTCGCGCCTGCACCGCGCTCAACCAGTGAGCAGACCCGTCTCTATATGGGATCTGAACCCTCGGTGGGAGCGCAGCCGCGCTCCCAAGAGCCGCACTCTACCGAGTGCGCCACCGGGCCGGCCTAAACAATCTTTTTGTTTATACTTTTTTGAAAGTAGACAAATTATACACTTTAAGTGTGTCCATCTTATTACATGGCAACTATAGCTCACTAACGCTGTTAAATAAAGAGAATAGCACTGTGAACCCCCATCCCCAAATACATTTTCAACTCACGGCCAACCTCCACCCACTTCTTTGCTTCTGTATTAATTTAAGCAAATCACAAATCCTTTCCTCTATAAATTCAGTTTGTATCTATATAAGATAATCATACTATTATCACATCTTAAAATAATTTTATATTAAAGAATATTAAGTAGCTTAATATATTAAAATACCCAGTGTTCATATTTCCAATAGTTTCGTAAATGTCATGAGATTTTGAGTTTGTTTCAATCAGACCCTAATAAGATCCACGTTTGGTTGATTGGTACGTTTCTTAATCCACTGGTTTTCCTCCACCTTGCTTTTTTGTATGATTTCTACCTGCTGCATTAAGTGGACTTGATCACCAGAGTGTCCTTGAACATGTTCGTCTATCCTGTGTTCTTCCTGTAAATCGTACATTTTAACAATTGAGGCTTGGAACCATCTAGACCTAGCCCAGCTTAGATCAGCCAGCCAAACTCTGGCCAAATTATACTCAAGTGAAAATATTGCTGTTGGAAGCCATTGAGTTTTGAGGTAGCTTATTTGCAGAATTACTGAGGCATATGTTAATACATTAACTTTTAAAACCATACATAAAATGAAAGGGAATTAGAAAAGGTATCTCCAGTTGCTTTGTATTATAGTCATACTTTGGATAAGACCTGGCACAGACAGATTCTAGAGTGAATTTGGTTTACATGGCTGGGAATGCAGGTGTCAACCTGGCACTGATACACAAACAGTAGTGTGTGAATTGGATGTCCCTTC